TACGGCCCTCAGGGTGCGCCCACCTCCTTCTCCAATCAAATGTAGTCTGGTGAGTGACAGGCGGGCGGTGTGGCCAAGGAGGGTACAGGAAAGGAGACGGGCGGGTCAGTAAACCAATAAGAGTCAGAAGTGAATGGTACATAGGGAGCTGGCTGGACAAGTAAGGGTGGGAGTTTGAAGGAGCCAATAGAGAGGCGGAGCTACATGTTAAGAGAGTAAAACTAGCCAATGAATGGAGAGCAGGAGTGGAGCTTGAAGATGGGCAGAATGAACAGCCAATGGGAGAGAGGTAGAAGTGCAGGTCTGAGGGAAGGGAGAGGAGAGAGAAGGGGGCAGAGCAACCAATGAAAGGAGGGAATAGCAAGGGGACTTGGTAGTGGAGAATCAGGGCAGCGCAGGAGCCAGGAAGGGAAGAGGAGGTGGGTCTTAGAAGTGATTGATAAGCCAGTAGGTTATGATAAGGCCAATAGATGGTCAGGATAATCCAGCTTGGATCATGAAGGTCAGACAAGTTCACCAGTCCGAGAGGAGGTGATAGATCCGCCACCTCTCCCCAACCCTCGAGGTGAGCGAGGTAGTGTGGAATTTCAAAGTGGGGGGGGAGGGTCAGGGGCATTGAAAAGGCTGGCCGACCTTCTTGCTGGGCCTGAAAGGAGAATTGAGATTTCCCTCGCGTATGAGGAGTGAAGATGGGGAGAAGAGGCAGAGGTATAGCATGAGAGGGGAAAGACACGGAGGTGGCAACACGTGGTGGAAGTAGTTTCTGGCACTTGGCAGGGAGGAGTTTATTAGGCATCTCACATCTAATTAATCAAAAAATCCTGTTGGCTCTTCCTTCAAAATAAACCCATAACCTTCCCACTTCTCACTGTCATCTCCCCTGGTCATCTTCACAGGTTTCCATCCCCATTCAAATTCTGAGAATTCTACTCACAGCGTTGGGAGAGATCATGTTAAGTCCTAAATCAGGCCACGGCCCTACTGTGCTCAGAGCTCTGCCGGGGCTCCCATCTCACTCAGACTAAAAGCCAAGGCCTTCCCTATGGCCCACAAGGCCCTACACAATCTAGCCCCATCCCCCACTTTTCTGACCTCTCACCTCCTACCGCTCCCTCCCCACTCTGTTCTGGCCACACTGGCCACCACACGTGCCAGGCACAATCCGACTTCAGGGCCTTGGTGATTGCTTTCCGCCTGGAGTTTCACACCCCCCAACACACATAAGCTTACCTGGCCAGCTTCTTACCAGTCCCCTTTCTTATCTCTCTCATAGAACCCTGTGCTTTTCTTTATCACAGTCTATGGCTCATTCGCTCACTTCCTTAAGTCTTTATTCCAATGTCATTTCTTCAACGAGGTCTTCTCTGACTACCCTACTTACTACAGCAACCTTCCTTCCCCTACTGGCACTCCTAATCCCCTCACCCTGGTCTACTTTTTTTTCCGTTTCACTTATTATCATCTTATGTCATACTAAACAATTCAGTTATACATCATGGTCATTGTCTGAAGTCTGTCTCCCTACCACAATGTAAGCTCCACAAAGATAAAGATCTTTGTTTTGGGGCCGGCCCAGTGGCGCAGCAGTTAAGTGTGCATGGTCCACTTCTCAGCAGCCCGGGGTTCACTGGTTCGGATCCTGGGTGCGGACATGGCACCGCTTGGCAAAAGCCATGCTGTGGTAGGCGGCCCACGTGTAAAGTAGAGGAAGATGGGCACAGGGCTAATCTTCCTCAAAAAAAAATCTTTGTTTTGCTCAATATAGTTTATCACCAATGACTAGAACAGTACCTATTAACAGACTTTTTTGGATTGAGGGAAAGGGAACCATAATTTCTTTGGTACCTAACCTAGTAGGGGCAAAGTATATCTTCCCAGTGGAGGCAGCTGGTATGAAGCTGACTGCAGGACTATGAGTGAAGGAAGAAGGAAGAAAAGGCATGGCAGGCAGAGGGTAAAGCCAGGGCAGAGGCATAGCAGCCCAGCCCCTCTCTACGGGCACCACCTGTGTCTGGACCCCCTCTCCTTTCTGTGTCTTTTGCCTCCACAGGTCAGCGCAGTCCGGGAGGACCCCATGGGTGGGCAAGAGCTCAGGAGAAGGCCTGCCCCCCTTCCCACCCCTACACCCCAGGTCTCCGTCCCTCAAGCCAGGAGACTCTTAACTGTCTTTGCTGTTTATATATATATATATTATATATAAATATCTATTTATCTGTCTGAGCCCTGCCCCCACCCACTCCCCTCTTGCCTTAGGGGCCTGATCTTGAGTGGGCCCCTCTCTAACCCCTACCCCTTCCCCTGCACCCCTTGGCCCTTCTCTGTTCCCTGGCCCTGGGCCCTGAGGTTGAGGGGCTCTGAAAGGGAGACAGTGAGGAGACAGACCTCGGTTGTGTGGGGAGGGTAAGAGTGACTTCAGACCCTCTCCCCTTCTCCTTCCCCTCCTCCAACTCTGGCCTTGATTCCTCCAGCAATGCCTGAACAGGGGCCATTAAGGGAAATTCAACCCTGAAGCGGGGAGAAAGGCAGAGACTGGGGGGGCTTGGGACCCAAGGTGGTCTTAGAGAGGAGCTGGAGTCAAGGGGACTAGTAACCAGAGGGGTTAGGTTCCACACATACCTGATCTGGAGTCTAAAGAAGAGGGGTGCCCTAGAGCATTTCGGATTGAGCTGGGAAGGAGGTTGAGGGCGTGGTTCTAGAAGGGGCGGAACTTTGAGTGAGGCTGCACGTGGGCCCCAGAGTGGGCACGGCTTGGAGTAGGAGAAGGTTCTACAAAAGGGGTGTGACAAGGGGCCTGGGGACAGGGTCTGGAAGAACATAGAGGGCTGGTTCTAGAAGGGGTGGGGCTTTAACCAGGGAATGGGTAAGGCTCCACAGTGGGCGGGTCTTGGATTGCGGCTAGAGTCTATGGAAGGGGTGGGGCTGGAACATTCTGGAATGCCCCATCCCATAGGGCAGTGAAGAAAACATGTTTGAGAGTGGACGGGTTTGGCAGTGTGGTGGGAGGAGGCTTGCCTGGGGGCTGCGGGATGGGTTTTGTTGGGGGGGGGGAAGTAGTATCTCTGGCTAAGGCTGGGGACTCAGGTGCCCTGGGAAGAGCAGAGAGGTATGGCTTGGAGGGTAAGGGGTGAGATCCAGAGAGAAGTACCCCCCCCCCCACACACACACACCCTTGCTCATCCCTGTGGCGGAACAGCTAGGTAATCAGAGGACAGAGTCAAGGGATCTGTGGGGCCGACCCACCCCCTCCACCCTCCTTCCCCTGCCTCCTCCCTCCCTCCACACCCCAACCCGTCCCGGGGTGGCTGGAGACCCGGTCTGGAGCCCCTGTCCTGCACCCTCTGCTGTGTCTGTGACGTCGGTAGTGCCTGTGATCGTGTGTTGCCATTTTGTCTGGCTGTGGCCCCTCCCCCTCTCCTCCAGACTACCCCCCCCCTTTCCCGCGCCCTTCTATTGTTTGTAGACTCCCTCCCCGAGGAAGAACAAATACGATTAATTCTCCTTCCCTAAATAAACTCCTCAACCACCTAGTCCACCCGGCTCTGGCTTCTCACTGTGTCTTTTTTGGGGGGTACGAAGGGAGAGATGAGGGAGAGGAGGCGAGAGGAAGCTGCGCCTCTGACCTGCTGGACGCTATTCAAGTCACCCCACCATTTTAGGCCCAAAACAGTGTTTAGACGAGACGCATCCTCTGTGAAGCCTTGCCTGCTGATCATTCTAAGTCACGTTCTAAGTAGCCCTGACCGTTGCCCCACTACTGGCCACGGATGTCCAGTCTTTCTAGGGCTCAGTTCTAATTCTGGTCCCTTAGCTACGCCCCTTCTCAGCCCCAGTGGAGCCGTATCCTCAAGTCCCCCGAGGGGTTCTAATAGGACCGCATACTTCACAGGGAGACCTCCCTCTACCCACCCGCCTCATATTCTTCAGACCCTGCTGTCTCTCCATTTCTTTGCCTCCACCGCAGCTGGAGAACTGGGACACCCACTAGGTGGCAAAGCCTCGAGGCGGGGCGCCGCAGTGACTCGTTAGTTCATTCATTCATTCCCCTTAACCCCTCCCCGGCTCCTCCCTGGGGCAAGGAGGAGCGGGAAGTGACAGAGATGTGCGTAATGGGGCCAGGAGAGGGGCGGAGGGGGTCCTCAGCGCCCACGATGAAAGGCCTGCCTGACCACCACAGTGCCTAATTAGAGACCCCGGCCGGCCGGGCGCCGAGTGCTGACTGTGGCCCGGGGACCCCCTCCTCCCAGCCTCGAGGCACAGCGAAGCCTGATAGCGCGAAGGAGAGACTCCCAGGCCTGGGATTGAGCTTAGGGAAAGAGATAGCTAACTGGAGAGAGAAAAATGGGAGCCGGGGAGGGAAGGCTTTAAGATCTATTTGTCAGGATTTAGGAGGCAGACAGCTGGGCCTGTAAGGAAGGAGGGGCGGGGAAGAGGGCCTCGGAACCTGGCCAGTGACTTTAACCTCCTCCCCCTAAATCTCAAATAATCCTGGCTCTGAAAGACGATGGGAGCGGGGGCGTGGAGGGGGTGTAAGATCTAGCTCTCTGATGGAGGCCGGCTAGAGAGCACCAGCTGGGGCTGCGATGGGGTTGGGGACCATTCTTGGAGCGTTCATCCGGGGGAAAGAGTCTCTTGGAACATCACCAGGGGGGCCGGGGCCAAGAGGTGGCTTTAACCCCTCCCCCAAATAAACATCCAAGATAAATCAACATGAAGTGTCAATACAAGTACACTAGCACACCACCCCTGGCAGTCAGGTCGCCTCTTCCAAGTCCCCCGTCCTCCACTGCAGAACCCTTAAGTCCTAAAATATCCCGTGAGAGGCCATGTGGCATCATGTGGTTCTGGGGGCCGTGCCTTCTGAGGCCCCGCTCCCTCCCGGGGCAGGAAGGCAGGGGAGTTTTGGGGACAGCGCTCCTGGGCTGTGCGCCCCTCGCCTCTAGGCAGGGGGCGCCTCGGCCCGGAGAGACAGCAGGCCCAGGGGCGGGCCCTGCGGGGCGGGCTCCTCCCTCGCCGGTGTCAGGTTTACGGAACGGAGCTCCCGGCCGGACGCGCGGTGGCCTGACGGCGGCGAGGATTCCATTCGGCTGACCCGGCCCGGCTTGACCCTGCCCGGGCGCGCCATGTTCGCGCGTGGGTCCCGGAGGCGCCGCTCTGGGCGCGCGGTGAGCGAGATTCAGGGCAGCGGTGCGGGACCGGGGTAAACTGAGGCCCAGGAGAGGGGGCAGGGGATAGGGATCGCGAGGAGGCGCTCCACAGAGGGTCTGGGAATCCCCATCCCCAGGATTCCCAGATCAGAGGGGCTGGGGCTGCTGGAAGAGTGTGGATGAAGGAATGTGGAGCTCTGGTGGCCCAAGCTCCCTAGTCACCTCTCGGCACACCTTTATCAGCATTCCAGAGACCTAGTGTGCTCCCCTCCCGTGTGGATTATGAGAGGGGATTCTGAGAGCCAAAAGATTGGGGCCTGGGGTCCTGAATTGAGCTGGGACCTCCTGAGCTTCTGAGGGAAGGGACCTCCCCCTGTACCTTGGCGGAAGGTGGGCTGAGGAGTGGGGTCCTACACTCCTGGGGTGCCCGAACACTGAGGGCCGAAGGATTGGCATTTGGGGGAAGAGGGCTTCCAGGCTTCCACTTGAGCCAGGGAGCTTTTGACTTCCTAGATAGCAGGATCTCTCTTTTCCTTTGGAGGGGGTCTCTAGGTGGGGTCTGGGTTTGGTGGTCCAGAGGAGTGAATAGCTCTAGGATATGAGGGATAAGGGCCAAGGCTTCTTCTTGGGGTGAGGGTTTCTGACTGGAGCAGAGGCCTCCTGAGATCCAGGAGGAGGGTCTCCAGTTCTTGGGTATGAAAGAGTGAAGCCGGGGTTTGGGGGAGAGGCTCTTGAGCTTCTGAAAAGACGGGCAGAGTTCGTGTGGGGATCCCAAGTAAGGATGAGGTCTCAGACTCCTACCCTGTGGAATTAGTGTTGCTGGCCTGTGGTGGAGACAGGGCCCAGATGAGGCCTGGGAAAGGACGCCCAGATTAGAGACTCTGCGCTCTGTAGGGAGAGTCCTCTGAATTCTGGGGGAGGTGTGTGAGGCCTGGAGGAGTCAGAAGCTGGTGGGAAGTGTCGAGGCTGGGTTGGGGGAGTCCGCAGCTGGCCTGAGGAGGGGAATTCCCTGAAAAGAGGGCTTACAGGGAGGCTGGCCTCAGCTGCCCCGCCTCTACCTCGGTTGTGTCCCCCTCCTCCGCGCTCCGGGCGCTGTCTCAGCCTGCCCAGGGCTGCCCTGGTGGGACAGGCCCCAGCGTGCGGTCGCGGGCCTAGAGTGTAGAGGCAGGCGTTGACTTCCTCCTCTCCACCGCGCCTTGCCTGTTCCCGCGTCTACACCCGCCCACTACAGCCTCCAGAGGCAGAGGACCCAGACCGCGGCCAGCCCTGCAACTCCTGCAGGGAACAGTGCCCCGGCTTCCTGCTGCATGGCTGGAGGTAGGTGACCATCCCAGGGCCTAGCCTTTGTCAGGGCCCCGCCCTCAGGGGAACCCCTAGAGGCTTAAGCCACGCCCCTAGGCTTGAGCCTGATCCGCCCAGGGAGCTCAGCTGGGGAAAGAGCTTCAAGCTCAAATTTCAGAGCCCCGCCCCCTGGCTCATTCCCAATTGTTCTGTTCCCGGGAGAGCTCCACCCACTACACAGCCCCACCCCCGGAAGAATCCTCCCCAAGCCTCTGAGTCCCATCCCTAGGGAGATCCTCCGTCCTGGGCTCTAAGCACCGCCCACTGAACTCCATCCTGCCTCTTGGGCTCAGAACTCCTCTCCCAGACCCAGGGTCCTGTCCTCCTACTGGAGCCCTGTACCCAAAACATCCCACAAAATACCACAGACAGCCCTACCCCCAGGCTCGGAGCCCCAGCCACCCACAAGTTCAGAGCCTCGGCACAGGCTAGAGCCCGCCTCTAGGGAAAGTTCCCCCACAATGTCCAAAGCCAGTCCTGAGCGGAAGCCCCTAGATTTATAACTGCAGTCTTAGACTCCGAGCCCTGCCCCTCAGGTCCGCTGCCGGGAGAGTCTCACCCAAGTCCCAGAGCTGAAAGTCAGGGGATGGCCTTGAAACCGCACAGCCCCACCCTTTCACCTCCCGCACCCAGCCGTGCCCTTCCCCAGCCGTGCCCTCCCCGCTGCCTCACAGACCTTCCCTCAGCTGGCCCCTCAGCCCCTCAACCAGCACCCACTCCCCGTGGCGTCCAGCTCCCAGCCCCGCCCCCAGGCCTAGAGCCCTGTCCTGGCTCAGAATCCTTTGGTGGTGATAATCAGCATGTCCCTGCCCCTCAGTTGGACTTCCATGGGCTGTCGAGGGGTCCAAGTGGGCCACCCCTTAGTAATTGACCCCCATCCTGGCCCCCTCAGAAAGATTTGTCAGCACTGCAAATGCCCGAGGGAGGAGCACGCCGTGCACGCGGTGCCTGTGGACCTGGAACGCATCATGTGTCGGCTGATCTCAGACTTCCAGCGCCACTCCATCTCCGACGATGACTCGGGCTGTGCCTCGGAGGAGTATGCCTGGGTGCCCCCTGGTCTCAAGCCTGAGCAGGTGAGCAGAGGCCACCACCTGTTCTTGCTCTCCAGTAGGCGCACACACACAAACACACGCACTCACACTCAGGTAGGAACCTATTTCTGGGACAACGCTAGGGTGTATAGCCAGATTGCATGTGTCTTTCTGAACCCCCTCTGATCAAGGGGTGGTCAGCCCCGTGTAACTCACAGGGAATCCTGAGTGATCACTGGGCCAGTTCCGCAGGGCCTGTTCACCCGACTCCTAACCTACGCCTTATCTCAGGTCTTATCCCAGCACTTCATTCACCACATCTCCACTGACCAATGCCATCAACACATAGTTATTGAGCACGGACTGCATGTCAGACACTGTTCTAGGCACTGAGGACACAGCAGTAAACAAAACACAAAACAATATATCTGCCCACATGGACGTTAGATTCCCGAAGGGAGCAACAGCCAATAAGCAAACCTGTAAAACTGTGTCAGATGGTGTAAGGGCTATGGCATCAAAAAGCAGAGAAGCGGGGTGGGGAGAGATGTTCGAATTGTAAATATGGTGCCCGGTCAGCCTCTGTGAGAGTTTGATGTTTGAGCTTCCTGAAGGAGGTGAAGAGTGAGCCATGCAGATATCCGAGCTTAGAGCGATCCAGGCAAAGGGAATAGCTAACACAAAGGCCCTGAGTGTGCCTTGCACGTGTGAGGAACAGCGAGGAGACCAGTACGCTGGAGCAGAGCCAGCGATGACGAGCGTGGTTGGAGGTGTAGGGAAGGAAGACTTTTCCTCTGCCTAAATGTGGGTTCGTCTGGCCGGAGAACGAATTAAATTCACATGAGACAGAATAGCAAGAGAAAATTAAACAAAGCTTTATGAGGAACCATGGCCCGGGGCCTCTCTTCCCGAAGGAAGAAAGGGCACCAAAGAAGTGGGGTGCACAGAGTGGTTATGTACCCCCAAACAGGATGTTTCACATATGATTGAAATGTCCCTCCCACAATAGTCACAAGATTGCCCTGTCGGCACATCGCTTGATGGGCACAGCAGATAGTGGGTCTGCTATCTCGGTGGGCTTAGCAGGAGGCAAGTCTATTGTCTCGAGCTGGGTGGTCACAGGTGAGCGCAGCAGTCAGTTCCTAGCCTAAGAAAAGATGCTTAATCCTGAAGGAAATGCCAACGGTGGGAGGGGGAGGGAAGTCAGTCACAGGAGGTTACCAGACAAGCACAATAAACAAATGCAGATTTAAGTCCTTGCCTTCCCTATTGATTAAGAGTTTCTAGATGGAGAGTTCCTTTACAATGTAAATGTCTCTTACAAAGGGTATGTAAATTCTACTTTGCAGTTGCTTTCCTGTCTGCAAAGGAACTAGCCTCAAATAATCGTGCCAAAGAGACATACCCTGGGGTGGCCAATTCCAGACCCCTACAGAGGTGAAGTCAGAGAGGTGGCAGGAGGCCATGGAGAGGACTTTGACTTCTACTCTGAATGAGGGAAAAGCCACAAGAGGGTTATGAGCAGAAAAGGGATGTGATTTGTCTTAGGATTTAACAGGTTCCCTCTGGCTGCTGCGTGTAGAACGGACTGTAGGAGAGAGGGTGGAAGCAGGGGACCGGTGACAGGGAGGCTACCGCAATAGTATGGGGACTGAGGACCGTGCTGGAGTGGAAGTAGTGAGCGGTGGTCAGCTTCGAGTTATATTTTGAAAGTAGAGCTGAGAGGATTTGCTTGCGGGTGTGAGAGAGAGAGGAGTCAAAGATGACCCCAAGGATGGGGATGGACTAACTGAAATGGCTCAGGCCAAGGCAGCAGGAAGTTTGAGGGCTAAGAGCCTACGTTTGGTTTTGGCCGCCTGGAATTTGAGATACCTGTTAGATATCTGAGTGGTCACGCTGCCTGGAACTCCGGCGAGAGGTCACAGGGCCAGAGGTATGCATTTGTGAGGCATTAGCCATGAGATGGTATTTATAGCCATGAGGTTGGATGTGATTCCCAAGGGAGTGAACGTAGACAGAGGCAAGGCGAACAAAGACTGACCCTGAGGACCCTCCCACATTTAGGTGTCAACTAGTTGAGAAGGAACCAAAAGAGGGACAGAGAAGGAGCAGCAATTAAAGTAAGAGGAAACCCAGGCCTGTGTGGTGCTCTGGAAGCCAAGGGAACAAAGTGTTTCTAGGAAGAGGGAGTGATCACCTGCGGCCAGTGCTACTAATGGCTCAGGGTGGACGAAGATGGAGACCTGAACAATGATTTTAACAATGTGGACATCATTGATGAGCGGGACAGGAACAACTTTGGAAGAGGGGCAGAGACAGAAGGGGTGGGGAATCCTGACTCAAGTGGAGTCTAGAGAGAATAGGAGGAAAGAAAGTAGAGGCAGCGACTGCACACAACTCTTTTGAGGGACTTTGCTGTAAAAGGAAGGTGAAAAGTAGAGCAGCAGCTGGAGGGGAAAGTGGGATCAAGACATGAGGGGACTCTTAGCACGTTTGGGAGCTGATGGAAATGATCCGGCCTGGAGGAAGGAGAGATGGAGGGAGTCAGTAGGAGTTCCCTTCTGATGACTTAAGTTTTCTCAAATAGGGACCCACCATCCAAAGTCACCCCCGGTCTCCATTGTTTTCTCCTCTCCCCCATGTCCTCCCAGGTATACCAGTTTTTCAGCTGCCTCCCAGAGGACAAGGTCCCCTATGTCAACAGTCCTGGGGAGAAATACAGGATCAAGCAGCTGCTGCACCAGCTGCCCCCACACGACAGTGAGGTGAGGAGACAGATGACAGGAAGGGCGTGCCAGGTAGGGGGCACAGCCTGGGCAAATGCTGAGCAGCTTGAAAGAAATGGGCAGGGTTAGAGGAGGAGAGGTGAGCTGAAAGGTCTGGACAGGCAGGGACAATCAGGGGACATTCTTTGGCAAAACCGCAGCTGGGCCTTGGGAGAAAAGGTAGGGGGTGGGTATTTCAGGCAGGAGGCACCAATTCTACAAAGGCCTAGAAGTAAACTTTTTGAGCATGCATGAAATTTGGAAGAGGGTCGAGGGGCAGGCATTAGGGGAGGAGCCTGGAAGACCTCCACTACCCCAGGCACAGTACTGCACAGCACTGGAAGAGGAGGAGAAGAAAGAGCTCCGAGCCTTCAGCCAGCAGCGAAAGCGGGAGAATCTGGGGCGTGGCACCGTGCGCATCTTCCCAGTGACCATCACTGGGGCCATCTGTGAGGAGGTGAGCCATGAAGGGCCTCAGCGGGTGAGTGGTGCCTTTGCTCCAAGCCCTGGGGTACAGGGCCCATCTTCCAGGCCCTGGGAAGACAGGCCTGCCACTTAAGCCCTTGTGGTCTAGCTCTAGTGTCCCCTGTAGTGGACGGGTTCTTTTCCTCACACCCCACTGTTAGGCAGGAACAATCTCTAAGGCCCTCCTGGCCAGCGAGGTTTGTGTGTAGGGCCCCCAGTGGACAGGGCCTCCCTCAGATCCCACTGTTGGGGGCAGTCTGTCTCTAAGGAGGCCCTAGTTGACCTTCTCTATGCTTTCCTCCCCTCCACACAGTGGACATGAGACTTAACCTCTCTCTGGTCCTCTTGTGGTCAGGACTTGTCCTTAAGAATTGACCCTCAATGGCAGGGCCTGTCTCTCTCTAGAGCCTGGTGGTGGGTGGAATTCATCTCCAAGGCCATCCCTGGTGGGTGGAGCCTGTCCTTAGACCCTAGTGTTAAGTGAGGTCTGTCACTAAGGTCCAGGTGGTGGAGACTATCTCTGTGGTCCCCCACTGGGCCTGGCCTGTCTCTGTGGTTTCCCCAACCCCTGAGGGTGAGACTTGCCTTTAAGGCCACCCACAATGAGTAGGGCTTGTCTCTACGGTTTCCCGCAAGAGCAAGGTCAGTCTCTAAGGTGCCCCCAGTGTAGGCAGGGCCTGTCTCAACATTACCCCGTGGGTGGGGCCATCCACAAAGGTCTGCCACGGGGAAGACCCAAGTGTGACACACCTTGCCTGACCCCCATCCATCTGACCATCTCAGTCATGGTGACAGTGTCTGTCATTGGCAGTGTGGAAAGCAGATCGGAGGCGGGGATATTGCAGTGTTTGCCAGCCGTGCAGGCCTGGGTGCCTGCTGGCACCCACAGTGCTTTGTATGCTCCACGTGCCGGGAGCTGCTGGTGGACCTCATCTACTTCTACCATGCTGGCAAGGTCTACTGTGGTCGCCACCATGCCGAACGCCTGCGCCCGCGCTGCCAAGCCTGTGATGAGGTTTGTGCCTCTCTGCCCTGGGGTGGGAATGGAGGGTGGGCAGGGAGAGGGGCAGGCCCATCTGACAGCCACAGATGGCCTGTGCCCCCTAGATCATCTTTTCCGCTGAGTGCACGGAGGCTGAAGGCCGGCACTGGCACATGGGTCACTTCTGCTGCTTTGAGTGTGAAGCCTCGCTAGGAGGGCAGCGCTACGTCATGCGTCAGAGCCGCCCCCACTGCTGCGCCTGCTACGAGGCCCGCCACGCGGAGTACTGTGATGGCTGTGGGGAGCACATTGGTGGGTGAACATGGGACTGGACAGAGGGATAGGTAGAGAGCTGGGCCACAGCCCCCCACCCCCCCCCCCAGGATTCCTCCTGTCCTCCAGGCCCCATCCTCTGTTATATCCTTTAATTTCAGCCCCAGCATCATAGGCCTATACCCTTCACTGCAAGTCCCATCACCAATATCCTCCACTATGCCATACTTTCTAAACCCCACCTCCACAACACTAGGCACCAATACACATCTAGGCCCACCTCCAGAGTGCCCTCTAATTCCCAGCCCCCCAGGGCCACCCTCCTACCCTTTCAGCCTAGCCTTTACTCCCCGAGGCTATGCTCTATTCTCTAAGACTCTCGTCGTCAGCCTCCGTACTCCTACTTTCTAAGCCACATCCTACCCTTTCTCACCAAGGCCAGCCATACCTTCTAAGCCCTGCCCCCACCACCCAGGCCTTTTCTGTAGGGTCCACCTTCCACTCTCCTTCCACCTGAAGATACCTCTTAATGTCTAAGCCTGGCCCACATCTTAAAGTCCAATGCCCAGCCCTACTCTGGGAGGGGACACCGAGGGAAAGAAAGGGAGGGGGAGGAGGAGATATTTACCAGCCAGTTTCCAGGAGAGAACAAGGATGAGGAACCCTGGGGTAAGGACCAAACTTCAGGTTTCCTGCTTTCTCCAGAGAAGGGCCCCATTATGGACAGGTGGGAGAAGGTGGCTCGGGGTACCCTGCTACAGATTCCCTGCGTCTTTCTGAGAGGGGCCCAATTCAGGAGGGGTGGAAATATGCTTGAGGGCTCTCCTCAGTTTTCCCCCTCGTGTCGGTCCCCGCAGGCCTGGACCAGGGCCAGATGGCTTATGAGGGCCAGCATTGGCACGCCTCAGACCGCTGCTTCTGCTGTAGTCGCTGCGGGCGAGCCCTCCTGGGCCGCCCCTTCCTGCCACGCCGGGGCCTAATCTTCTGCTCGAGAGCCTGCAGTCTGGGGTCTGAGCCCACGGCTCCGGGGCCTGGCCGCCGCAGCTGGAGCGCAGGCACGGTCTCCGCACCTCTCGCAGCCTCCACAGCCTCTTTCTCTGCTGTGGAGGGGGTGTCAGAGACCTCCACCAAAGGCACGAGCACGGAGCCAGCGCCTGGTGAGCTAACCTTCGAGCCACGCCTAGCCACTCTGCGTCTCCCGCCCCCGCCTCAATCCCAGCCCCTCCCCTTGGCTCGCGCAAGTCCATCACCTGCGGCATCCCGGGCCCCGCCCCCATCAGCCCTCTCTTGGTCTCCAATCCATTCCAGGCCTAGTGTCCAGCCCCACATACATCCCCTCATAAAACCTGGATCCGCCCCCTTCTGTACAGGGCCTGTTCTCTACCTCAACTTGTCCCTGCTTGAGCCCAAGTTCCTCCTTCTTTCCTCCAAACCCTTGATTCTCCACCCTCCGCACCGAGGCCCCAACCCCATTTTATCCTAAACTTTGTCTGCTCCAGCTTATGCTACGCCCCTTCAATCAGAAGCCACGCCCCCATTCCTTGGCCACGCCAGTCCAATCCTGCTCCACCTGCGTTCCATCCTCCCTCATATTCCCCGGATTCCCCACCTCGCTGCTCCTCTCTGACCCCTGCTCCCACTTTCCGGTCCTAATGGGGGAAAGGGGAGAGGAGAAGGTCCTTCCAAGGCCTCCCCTGGGAGAGGGGGATCAGATACAGGGAGTCGCTCTCTTTCCAGCTGCAGGCCCCGAAGAGCCCGCCCGCTTTCTGAGAGGGGCCCCCCACCGCCACTCCATGCCAGAGCTGGGGCTTCGCAGCGCCCCAGAGCCTTCCCCGGGGCCCCCTGGCCAGCCAGACCAGCCCCCGGAAGATGGTGCCTTCGGTCGCCAGAGCGCCCCACGCGTCAGCTTCCGAGACCCCCTGGTATCCGAGGGAGGCCCGCGGCGGACCCTGAGTGCACCCCCAGCCCAGCGCCGCAGGCCGCGCAGTCCCCCTCCCAGGGCCCCCACCCATCGCCACCGCCGCCGCCACCACCACCACCACCGTCACCACCGCCACTCTGGCAGATGTCGCCGCCATCACTGTGACTTGGGATCCGGATCCGACTCGGAATCTTGCTCCAGCTCGTCCTCCAGCCCCAGTTCCGAGTCCTCAGAGGACGACGGCTTCTTCCTAGGGGAACGCATCCCACTGCCCCCGCACCTGTGCAGGCCCGTGCCTGCTCAGGACACTGCAACTGAGACCCCCAACTCCCCATCTCCACAGCTCCCCAGGAACTCGCGCCCAGGGATGCCTCGCCAGGCCAGAGACAAGAACTGTACCGTGGCCTGAAGGCTCAAGTCAGTGTAGATGATGACACCTCTCCCCCCGCACATAAGTCATAAATCCCCTTCCTTCCTCTCTCCCTGTCTGTTTGTATCATTGAAGTAATTTAATGTGTTGTAGAACAAGCCTGGCTTCTTTACCTCTCTGTTCCAGCTGCACCCCCTGCCCAATTTGCTCACTCCTGATGTCTTGAGATTTAGCCACATTTGACCAAAGGATTAATTTATTCATTACCATATGTTCTAACAATCTGTTTATTATTTATTTATTCCTCCGCAGAACCACCCCCACACTGAGGAGGTTATTTGGAGTGCGTCACAACTTGGGGCCCAGAGTCTGAAATCTGAGGCACCCTCCTCCCTCATTTTGTGGCTTAGGTGGGGGCATAGTCCAGGCAGAACTGGCATCTCCTTTTGGGTACTGCAGAAGGAAGGGGGACCTAGGCTCACCTTCAAGGTGGCCACGCCCAAGAGGGTTGATTGGCAAGCTGGAAGAGAGATTCTCCTGATAAAGGCACTTTCACCTCAATAGGGGGCTGGAAGTTGGCTGGGAGTGTTGTAGGGACAGGGAGGAGTTATTTCATGGTGGTGTTAGTTGCAGGTTGCGGAGAGCAATGAAGGGAGTTCACCTACACCGGGCCATCTGCAGGGTCTGCAAGTGAGGAAAAGAGAGAAAGCACTGGCTGGATCCATATGCCCATTCTTTAGACAAGAATACGGAAGCTTATGGTACTTATTGGCACTAAAGCCATAAGTATCAATAAGGGACAGAGTTGGCATTCATGCCCTTGGGAGACCCCTTTTATTCTCAGCCCCCTCAGCAACACCTCCCCCCGCCCCAACACACACACACACTTACCAGTAGGGGCTGCTGAATGTCTTTGCTGCCTCAAGGGGAAGGTGGTGTAAGCATCATAGCCAAAGAGGCATGTCGCAATTAGGCCCAGTACCTGGGGGTAGAGATAGGAGTGAGGGGGTTGGATTAGGTTGGCCAGCCTACTCAGCCTCTTACTCTTTGTATCTACCACCTCCAGTGACTGCCCCATGCAGGGATGGTGACTAAGTGCCAGGTTGGGAAGCCAGAGAGCCCCAGGGAAAGGCCAGGAGACTGGACTCTATCCCATCCTCCCTCCTGGTACCTCTCAACACAGGGAAGCCACACAGGAGCCCCACATACAGGCAATACCATTAATACTGTCATTTGAGACGGAGTTCTAGCAGAAGGTAGTCTAGTGTGTTGACAAAGGGCCCGCCTCTTTGTGCTTCCCACAGAGGTGCCTGTGTCAGACAAGGGAGGGTCCTTTACAGCAAATGATGATCTTGGGAGGAAAACCAGGGCCTGAACCAGACTTTCCTTCAGGCCCTGAGGACAACTGTGGCCTGGTCATGCACTTTCTGCCAGAGGCAGAAATGCCCCCTGGATCCTCAAACCCCTCTCTCTATGCTTTGGAGCTGCCTCCACGGCCTTTACCCCTGCGGTGATTCTGGAGTGGTTTCTTTCATTAACAAGGACAACAATGGAGGTGATCAGGTAGAGGATGGCCGCTATGAGGGTTCGGAAGAAATCCTGTGAGGTGTAGGGAGAAGACGGAAGTCAGCACCCAGAGTTCCCCAGACAATCCCAACCGCCCAGGCCCCTCCCTAGCCTCGCCATTTTCGGCCCCTTTCTCACACTCCAAGGCCAGTTGATGATCTGTATTTTGTTGTGCAGGTCACACATGTAGATGACAAAGAAGATAGCAGCAAGGATCATCTCAATCACCGACAGGGAGGAGTATGCTGATGTCGAGGCACTGAAGCAGATCAGAATCACCAGGCACAACACCTGGAAGGATGACAGGGGACAAGGGGCCTCGCTCAGCTCCCAGGGCTGAGGGGATTGGTTTAAATTGGGAGTCTCAGATGCCTACCAGGACTGGGAAAATGACAAATAATAATAGCTAAACACTTACTGTGTGCACACTGTGTTCCAAATATTGTTCTAAGAGCTCTACAAGAATTACTTCACTTAATCATCACAACAACCTAATGACCTGGGTACTGTTATTAGTATCTCTATTTTATAGATTAGAAAAGTGAGGCACAGAGAGGTTAAGTGACTTGCCCAGGGTCACCCAGCTAGTAAAGGGTAGAGTTCCGTGCCTCAGTTTCCCCCCTTTTCCCTTCTAAGATAGGGGTGGCCTGCGGGGAGTGGCGCCACCAGGTGTTTTGTGAGCACTGCTGGCGCCAGCTTCACGGCCTTGACGGGGCGGGACGTGCGGTTCCCCCGGCAACCCCTTTGGGAAGCGGTGAGAGCGACACTGGAGGGGCAGGGCTCGGTTAAAGGCGCCGCACCCCTTTTAGAAGTGACTCAAAGGCGGCGCCCACTTTGAGGAGGGCGAGAAACCAAGGCTCCTGAGCAGCAGGGACAGCTAGCTAACGACCTCCCGCCCCACCACAGAGCGGGGAGGAAGAACTGGCGGAGGGCAGGGAGCCCTACCCTGGGGGACAAACGCGCAGGGCCCCACCCCACCAGGCCCCGCCCCTGGGCGCGCCGCCAGCCCGCCCGCCAGTGCCCAGGCCGCGCCACGCCCTGCCACGGAAGGCCCCCCACCTCCCAGCCCCTTGGGACCCCTCCGATGAGTCCACAGACGAGTCCACGCGGTCTGCTTCCACAGGGCCCCCTATATGCTCTATGGGCCTCTTGTCCCAACCCGTGGGCCAGCAGGCCCCGACTACCTTCTCCAAACCCCACTGACTCGCCCTGCGCCCCTGGTTTCTGGCCTCCGCCACTAACCCACCCACCTGCGCCCCACTGCCGCACGCTCCTAGCCACGCACCTACCTCACCCGGGGCCGCCCGGCTCCGCGTGGTCCAGCCACCCCACCCCGCCTTTGCCCACCCGCCTGTCCCGGGACGCTCACAATTTCAGCAAACAGGAGAATTCCCTTTCGGGTGCGCCAGAAGTTGGTGCAGGCTGTCCAGCAGCCGGGGGCCGAGAGGCGCTCGGAATCCGCCATGGCGTGGGCCGGAGTCCCTAGGAGCGCGGAGGATCTGCTCGCTTGCTCACGGGTTCGAGGACGCTGCACACCCAGCCGTCTTGCCCGCCGTCTGGCCGGGAAGGTGGCCCCGGGGCGAAGGAGGGAGTGAATCACCGCAACAAGCAGAAGCGGGCGGGGCCGGAGGGGGCCGGGCCAGGTGGCTGCCGCCCCGGAAGCCCCCTCGCCCCGCCCGCCAAGGATAGTCCCCGCTCGGTGCATAGCCCCCGGGGCGCCCCATCGCCGGGGACGCTCGCCTTTGAGGCTTGGCACTTCGGGCTACTGCACGCAGTAATGTAATGGCGAGACCTTTCGCGCTTTTAGGATAGAAATACTCCCGGGGGCAGCCTCAACCCAGAACCGCGGAGATCTCGCTGTGGGAGGGAGTGACTCAGTTTCCTTAGCTGTAAAAACGGCTGAGGCCATGGTTAAGCCCAGGTATATTTCCAGAATTCGGAATATTTCGGATTTTAGAAAGTTTTCCCGGTTCATGTACGGTATATTACTTAACACCCTCAGCGGGGTCTGAGGCTGCCCAGTTTAAAAAAAACACGTTAATATTTCCCCAAGGAAAGGTGTGGATGTTCACAGTAAGTGACCAGGACTGAAAATTGTTCCTCATTAAGTCAGGTCAGCTCAGGTTTTGTAACCAAGTGATGCCCAATTTGTGGGAAAACTGTCGGTTTCCGGAGCTTTTTGGACTTCGGAATTTTGGATAAAAGATTGTGGACTGTGGAATAAACCTCTTAGCAGTGATGAGAATGAGACCACGCCAGTGCACAGGCTGAGAGAGAACAGGGCCCAGTGAGCATCACGCTGCTCAGTAAGTGGGAGTGAACATTATTAATAGTATCAGAGCCCAGGGTCTGATTCTCTGGTCTGCAATCCTAGGGAAGTCGTGGCCTTAAGTGCCATGCCTCCATGTCCTGGTTCTAAGGAGAGGGGCTATCAGCCCAGCCCTAGACGAAGAATGGGGAAGAAGCACAGGTTTGTTGTTTTGTTTTTTGTTTTTTGAGGAACATTAGCCCTGAACTAACATCTGCTGCCAATCCTCCTCTCTCTCTTTTTTTTTTTTTTTTTTTTTTGCTGAGGAAGACTGGCCCTGAGCTAACATCCGTGCCCATCTTCCTCTACTTTATACGTGGGACGCCTGCCACAGCATGGCTTTTCAAGCGGTGCCATGTCCACACCCGGGATCTGAACCGGTGAACCCTGGGCCGCTGAAGCGGAACAGAAGCACGGGTTTATTTATTGCTGGGAGCTTGGCATGATGAGGGGAAGGCACCTGGGGTACCAGGCTGGGTGACAAGGCTGACGACATTTAAAGAGTGTGTTATCCTGAACAAGTAATTTCTCCTGACTCAGCCTCGATTTCTGCATCTGAGACACGCACCTGGTCTCAGGAATCAGGGTCTCCCCCGAGATGTGCTGAGGGGCATGCTCTCCAGACTGGATGCTGGTTTTATTCTCATCTCATTTGCGGAGGAGAGAGGGGTAGCTGGAAGGCCAGGATGGTTCAACCCAAGGGCTTGTCTGCTATCCCCTGCAACCTGGAGCCCCTCCAAACCAAGAAAGCCTCTCTCCTCTTTCAGCCCGGGTTGCTGAAAGCGATTGGGTAGTGGAAGGAATGAAACATATTTTTCCCAGTGCTGAGTGTATGCTTTCCAACTCTGTGAGGACATGCCTGAGTTTCTAGAACAAAACAAACTCTGCTCCACATCAGGGCCTTTGCACTTGCTGTTTCCACTGCTGTCAGTGCCCTTCCCCCAGCTCTTCATACATCTGGCTTCTGGTCATTCAGGTCCCAGCTCAAATGTTATGTCTTCAAAGAGGCCAGCAGCCCACCATCATTACCTCCCCCAACATAACCTCCTTTTGCTATCTTCATAACTCTGACTTCTCTCTGAAATTATCTTTCATTTATTAATTTTCTTGTCGTGTCTTTTCTGACATCTGTCTACCCCCCACCACATCAGTTACAAAAGGGTAGAAATCTTTATTCCTTCCCTCCGCATCTCCCCAGTGCCCATCACAGTGCAAGTAAACAATTGTGACTCAATTAATACTTGTCAAATGCAGGTGAGATTAAGAGGACAGGTTTGGAAATTGGGCCTTGATTAAGTCTTGTTTCAACTCCCCTCTCTCAAGCTATTTATACTCTCTGAGCCTCACTTCCCTCCTCTGTGAAATGGACATATCAGGATTGTTGAGTAGACGTGTAACTAGATGAAAATAGACACTGCAAGGAGAGCCGGTAGCAGGATAAGGCTAAGTAAATGGTGGCTGGGGTTACTATTATTAGTCTCCTGGGTGTGACTGTTTTAGGACTGGGGCTCTGGAGCCCTTTCCTGACTTCTGTGGGGCCACACCTCCACCAGGCTCTGAGTCAGGGGCAGCTGGAAGCCCCAGCACCCTCCCCCACAACGTCTTCAAGCATTCACCTCTTCACCTCTTTATACCCTAACTCCCAGCCTGGCTTTGCAGTCCCTCTCTGCTCCCCAACAGCCACCCTGGACACTCACACTCCAGTCCTTTAATTTCTCTCCCCACTCCCCAGCCCCCCCCCCCCCCCCCCCCCCCCCCCCCCCCCATAGGAGTGAGAGTTGCCGGTTCTGGCCTGACCACAGCTTCCTTCGTTGGGTGTATGGGGCCGAGTGTTCAGGATGTGGTGACAGCGGAGGTGACTGGACATTTCTGGCCTTGGCCAGCGTCTGCTTCGGGGCTATCCCGGTTGGAGTCCCACTAGCCATATAAGCTCCGGCTTTGGGGCTCTGTTCCCAGGATGGAGGAAACTCTGGCCTCTCCCAGGACCGGGAACGCCCAGCGTGTGGCATGTGCACACAAGCCCGGCTGCAGTTTGTCACCATCTATGGAAGAGGGAGGCGCGGCCCAAAGGTTGTAACAGCCTTTTTTAGCCCTGCCCGCTGACTCACACCTTCCCGGCTCCGCCCCAAAGGGGGCTCCAGGGCCCCAGCCCATGCCCTGAGGGGGGCAGTCTACGTGCCAGAAAAATCTGGCCAACCAGGCCAGAAGTGAGAGACCGCAGCCTCCTGGCGAAGGAAGCCGCCGTGGTTCTAGCCTTGCTATCTATCCGGCCGTCAGCTGAGAATCTGGAGATTCCGGGACAGGGCTGTTTGTATACTGGTGCACTCGTGCCACAACAGGCCCGCCTCTGCATTTCACATGCCGCGCGCAACAATTATCTGTGAGCCCTGCACACCTCCCAAAAAGTAAAATGAATGAATGGGGAGAGAAGCAGGAGTTGGCGAAGAGAAACGGAGAGGGGAGAAAGTACGCTGGGCTGAGGGCCGGCAGAAGCAAGGACCCCTCTAGAGGTGTGAAAGAAACAGCACGAAGCAAGCTTGTCAATGGTTGCAAGAGCCCCTCCTTGAAACCAGATCGACCCACCCCCCTCCTTTACCAGGTGGACTCGGGATCCTTACCGGGCCAAGAGCACCTGGCAAGTCAAGACTGGATCGAACCATTTTATTACCTCCCCCACCCGAAACAAGAAGCGCAGGGCTGGCCCGTCCGGGAGGACTGTGCCACTGACGCCGCAAGGGGAGCGCGGGCTGGTCGACTGCGCAGCAGGCGGGGGGACAAGACCAAGTGGAAGCTCTCCGCGTCATGCTAGTGCGCGGCCGGCGGAGCACACCAGATCCAGTTTGGGCAGTACCAAGTAAGCACCGAGCCGTCTGATGCATGCTCAGTGCCTCCGCCTTCCGGCTGCCATCTCCAGGGCGAGCTGCGCGGCCCCCGGAACCCCTAGGGCACGCGAGAGCCGTTCCTCGCTCGGCACCAGCCAGGGTCCGGGGGAACCCGGGGTTCGGTCGTCAGGAGAAACCGCGGAGCTGTCGGCCGCCCGCTCTAGGCTAGGCTCCGGGCTGCCCCGGGTTTTGGGCGTGGTATGGGATCGAGGGTGCTGAAACAGGGATGGGCTGGCGCTGTGAGACCTCATCACCTCTGGTCTCCCAGGATCTGGGCTGCGATCTGGGGATGGCAAGACTGCTGGTTAGATTGGGCGATAGGGTGGGGAACAGAGAGAGGGGCCCCTTGGCCCAGGGTAGCTGGGAGACTCCAAGGACTGAGGGAGACGGAGATCCTGCTCCTTAGAGAAATCTCCCTTCAAGGCCTGGACACGCCCTTAAGGAACCAGCACCACTCCTTAAGACCCCTGACACCTCCTTTCCCGAGACCTCTCCCCTCCTGGATTCAGAACACACCCATCAAAAAATCATTTCCCAAAATCCCCAAAGGAAATCAAACCCGGACCTTGACCTCGAGATGCCAAATCCCTTCCAGCTAGGACCCAGACTGTCCCCTTGCTCAACCCACCTCCCTCGGCTCCCAACTTTTTCCCTTATGGACTCCTCCTCTATCAGAACTAGACCCCCTACCCTCTGTATCCCTATCCTATGCCCTCCCCTCTGAGACCCACTCTGGCTTCCCATCTGAGGACCATGACTCTTCCTTCTGAACACCCCCTTTTACCCCACACTCATTCCATCCTCTCCCCTCCCAGTACCTAGAAAGTCTCCCTCTGAAATCCACCTTTATTCCTATCCCGACACCCTACTCCCCCAGCCACCACCCCCCCCCCCCCCCCGCGCTTTTGAGGATACCATGACCCCTCACAGACATTGAACCACTGACGCTCCCCACTGAGACCACCAAACCCTTCCCACCCAGGACCTCAGCCTCTCCACTCTGCCACTCTCTCCTTGCCTTCACAGATCCCTGACCCGTCTCCCCTTGGAAACCCACCATGGCCTTTCCGGGGCCTTCCCACCCTCTCAGGCTTGCTGGGGTGTGTCTCAAGAGGCCTGCTTAGCACCAGCCGGAGCCGGGGTCCGCCTCCGCGAATCCGCTCCACGACCTGGGCATGGGTGAGGCCCTGAGTTGTTTCTCCGTTGATGAGGAGCACGAGGTCGCCAGCCTGCAAGAGTGGAAAGCAGGGGTGCTGTAGGAAGGACAGATGGAGAGCACCCTGACAAAGGGCAAGGACCGGACCAGCACCATCGAATGGAGCGTGCCTCATGGCTCACCTGCAAATGACCGCAGCGCTCTGCTGGCCCGTCCTTCAGCAGCCCGCGCACTGCCAGCGGAGTGTCTCCAGCTGCATCACGACCTCCGCTTAATGTGAGGCCAAAGCCCGTGGAACCACGGGCCAGTTCCACACAGAACTGACCAGAGGCCTGCGGTAGCTTCGAAGTACAACGTGCCTTACCCTGGGTCACTTGGGACGGCGTGGTACATGTACCCAAGGTTTCTGACCGCCTATGCTGGAGTAAGAACACAAGTGTACGTACATTGCCAGTCTTGAGGCAAGGGGCCTACGTTAGGAGGACAAGGTAGTACCTGGGGCCGGTGTTCCACGAAAGTGACATTAGGCAGGCGACTGTCCGTGACCTCTATGTCTGCAGAATCCAGCACCCTAACAGCTAGGGGAATGAAAGAGTCAGCCGGAGGAGTACTCCACGGAAACCACATAGGACCTGACCCCTGAGGTAACATTCTAGCGTCATGTCATTTCCTTGCCCCTAAATATAGACAGGCCCACTTATTAAACTAGGCTCCGGCCACACGAATAACTGTCCTGAATGGCCTTCTTAACTAATAAGCCTGGGCCCGGCTATTGGAATAATCCTCCAGACCTTGCTACCTCCCTCCCTCTAGTAACACGCAGACCTCCACCCTCAAATGGCACCCTTAGGCCCACCCTGGAGGGTGCTACTCCTGGATTCTGCTCCTGAACATTCCCGGCCCAGCCCTCTAATCAGCCTGGAAACCTCAACCCATTCCTGCCATTTCAGCCCCGCCCCCGGTGCGCAGATAGGCTCCACCCCCTTGACTAGCATTCCAGACCCGCCTCTCAGCTAAGCGCCCGCCCCCAGCCCTCTCCAGGCCCCGCCTCCTCAGAAATGCCATTCGAAGCCTTAGTTGCAACTAATCTTGCAACATTCACCGACTGCAATAACCCTGCCGCTGTCACCTCCTAGAGGAATATCCTAGGCTAACCCAAGGCCCCGCCCCCTCGATTATCCTCCGAGCCCCGCCCTCCCAACTCACACCCCGCCCCCCCCCCGGCCCCACCCAGCACAGTAACTAACAACCTCGGGCCTGCCGCTTGGAACCCGGCTCCATTCCGACCCCGCCCCCCGAAAGGCCCCGCCCCCATCACGCACCCTCCTTGGGGCGCAGGCGCAATGTGGCGCCGGCCCTGCGCACCAGCGCCGCCACGTCGGCCGCAGCTCGGGCCGCCAGGGGGCGCGCGTCCAGCCGGGCCAGGAGCTGCCGGGCACTGGAGCCCGCGGGCGGGGGAAGGCCGCGGCCTGCGCGGGTGGAAAGAACAGGTCAGCGCCCACCCCGAGCCTCGGAGAGCCCCCGCGCTCCCCGACGTCAGACACCTGGAATGCCCCTCAAGATCCCCAGACACCCCCTGACCACGCCCTTGATAGTGCCAGAGGTCACCGACTGGCCCTCTCATCTCCCGCGACCCCCGACCACGGCGAATGTGCCTGTGGACCCCGCCTGCCCCCACGATATCCCTGGAGAGAGCTCTGTGACCGCAGTATTCCTGGACACCTCAAACACCCTGTGGATCTATCTCTCTGGAGGTCTCCGACTGCCCCCTCGTAACCCCAGATTCCAAACTCCCCCCCACAATATCGAGAGGAACCCCGATTCCCCCACATGTCCCGACAGAACACGGTCTGCGCCCCGGTTCCCCCTCCAGATAGCCTAGGCCACCCTGGTGGCCCCCATAACCTCGGATTGCCCCTCCACAGATCCCCAGAGGCCCCCGCCTAGCCCCCCACAATTCGCCACGGACCCTGAGTGCCCAGGTGTCCCCAGGGCCCCCGGGCACACCCCTCCGGCACATCTCCCGGGAGACTCCTGAGAGCCCCGGGATCTGGTGCGCGGCCCCGCGGCGCGGGGGCCGGTGCAGGTGCGGGACCTCGAGCCCAGCCGTGGTCGCTGGGCCCCTGCCCGCTGCCGCCGCTGCTTGGGCGCCAAGGCGGCTTTGTTTACTACCTGTCGGAAGGAAAAGGTGAGCAGCAGACAGGCGGGGCGAGGGGGGCAGGGGACGCGCGCGCTCCCCCCACCCGTACCTCCTCTGCTCCCCCTGGGCTCCGTGGCGCTCCCCGCGCGCGGCTCCATGCCCCGGAGTCCGTCGGGTGGACGCGCGGCCTGCGGCGACGCGTTCTGAGCGCCGGGGCGCACTCAGCTGGCGGCCCGCCCGGGCCTGGACGCGGCTGAGGCCGGCCGGTCCCGTGCCTGGCGCCCGACCCGCGCGGTGACCTACCTGGCGGCCGGCAAGGAGGCCTGGCCATGCGGGCCATGCGAGCGCTGGGCCTCGCTCTGCCTCGGGCGCCGCCTCCCTCCTCCGGGGACCCTGGCTGCGCTTCTCTTGCCACCCGGGGAATGTAGGGACTCCGCGCGTGAGAAGGGGAGGTCGAGGCCCAGAGAAGCTAAGGGCCCCGTTTGAGCTCTGACAACCAAACACGCGGAGGCGGAACTGGAGCCCAAGTCTAGCAGGGAATTCTGCAGCCTCCAACAGAGCTTTGCACGTAGTAGGCGCTCAGTAAACGTGCAGTCCATGTTGGCCTAAGCCGGTCCCTACGGGGGAACCGGAGGAGTCTGGTGGGCTGGGGAGGGGGACGCCCTTGGAGCCTTGGGGGCCATGGGAGGGTTTGGGGCCCTGAGCATGATGGGACTGGGGGACTCCAGGAGCAGGGAAGGGCAGGTCCCCTGGAGAGCGAGGCGGCTTTGAAGGCACCCGGGTGGGAGGGGACGCCAGCCAAGAAGAGGAGAGAAATGAGGCCCCTCCTAGGTTTGAAAAGGGCGGGGTTCTGGGGACACAGGCCGCGAGCGGGGAGCCCTTGGACACGGTGCTGCTGTCGTCGAAGGAGGAGTGGGGAACAGCGAGAGATGGCCTGTGACCACCACTTGGTGGAGGAAGAGACTGAGGGCTGGAGGGGCTCAGACGCCTGCCCGGGCCCGGTAGCCAGCCAACAGCAGCGCCGGTCCCAGGCAGCTCACCCCCAACGCTCACTCGGCCCGGGACTGTTTCACTGCGGCTGTCGGTGCACTGTGTCCTGCCGTCCATTCTGGCTGGCTGGGCAACCTCTCTCGGCCACCTCTCAGGGTCCCGGTGTTGTCGTAGGTGGAAGGGGCTGAATGGTCCCTGCTTTCGTTCCTCCTGCGACCCCCTGCCTCTCCCACCTCTCACCTGATCTTGTCTGAGGGGGATCACATTAGACCTCTTTCACTGCTCTGCCCTGTTCTTGTGGCAACCACATGAGGCTGTCACAGCTCCCATCTTATGCTCACTATTTTTCCCATCTCCCTGCCTTTGCCATGCTGTTCCGTTTGTTTGGGAAGCCCTTCCCAGCCTTTTGTGTGCCTAGAAGTTGACTGCATGTTATCAAGGCCCAGTTCAAAGGCTCCAGCCCTCCATTCTTCTATTTCTGAAAAGGAAGATCACATGATCATATGCAGAAGATGGATGATTGACTGTGTAGAATTATAAATCAAAGTGCTTCTGTTTTGGAGGAAGAGTCCGGGCTGATTACATTTCCTGAGTCTTTCCAAGAGTACTAGATTGAGGCGAATAACCGAGACTGAATGCTAGGCTCCCATGTTCTCTCCTCCACTGAGAAACCCTCTCACTCTTTCCTCCATAACCCAGTCCACTCAGAGTCCCCCTGGGGACTTCCCCAATTCTCCAGGGCAGTGCTGGTCACTGGAGTCACTGGCGTCTCTGAGCCTCTGTCTGCCTGAACTGGGATCTGCTCTGTCCCTTTTGGCCATCCCTGGGAGTCAGGCTGCTGTCTGAGCTCCCAGGGGTCCCCAGCAGAAGATGGCCACACCTGCCCACTTCTTCAGAGAAGCCAGGATGCTTTTGTATTATGCCATGTAAACTTCTTACCTATGACTTGTGGAATGAGAAATAAGCCAACACAAGGCACAATTGTTATCCCAGTTTTATAGAGTGGGAGATGGAGGCCCAGAGAGGTTAAGTAACTTTCTCAAGGTTGCAACAGCCAGGAAGCGGTGGAGCTAGGATTTGCACCAGGCTGTCCTGGCTTCAGGGACTGCATTCAGGTGCCACACTATCCTACCTCTCATGGTGCACGTAGGCTCTCTGTCTGGCTGCCCACATCTGTCCCAACCTGCGTCTGGGGCTGGGTGGGGGAAAGTGGAGACTCTCTATACTACAGTTTTCCTCCATTGGATTCTCATTCATTCGTGCATTCCACAGACATTCTCTAACACATGCTCAGAGCCCGGCCCTATGCAGGCGCAGCTGGCTTCATGGAGCTGCAACGGCCCTGGGTTCTGCTATTGGCAAGCACCCTGTTTGGAGGGAAAGGCTCTACTGGATGCTGACACAGACATTGACAACACAGTGTGGTCAGGGCTGGGACCTGTCTGCCTTGTAGATTTGTGTGGAAATATATTTGTCAAAGTAGGAGGGCACATCATATATTATTTGACAGTTACCTTGATTTGTTACTTTTAGACATTTATCCTTATAATATGTGAGCCTCCATTTGTATTCTCACCCCTGGCCTCACAAATGTTATGGGTGGGTCTGATCAACCTCAAAAATAGAGAGGGAAGACATAGATTTCACAATATTATGACATACTACAAAGATTTAGTAATAAAAAGAGTGTGGGCCTCTGCAGGGATTAGACAGACAAACTACTCAAAGAGAAATTAGGGGTTCCAAAACAGAAATAGGTATATATAGGAACTTGATACATGATACGGGTGACACTACAAATCAATTGAGAAAGGATGGGATCTTTGGTATATGGTGATGGGAAGATCAGCTCACTCTAACCTCAATGGGATACCACCTCACACCTGCTAGGGTAGTTACTATCAGGAAAACAGAAAAGAAAAGTGCTGGCCAGGATGTGAACAAATTGGAAACCTTGTGCATTTCAGTGGTTATGTAAAATGGTGAAGCTGCTGTAGAAAACAGTTTGGTGGTTCCTCAAAAAGTTAAATATAGGGGCTGGCCCCGTGGCCGAGCGGTTAAGTTTGCACGCTCCTCTGCAGGCGGCCCAGTGTTTCGTTGGTTCAAATCCTGGGCGCGGACATGGCACTGCTCATCAAGCCACGCTGAGGCAGCGTCCCCCATGCCGCAACTAGAAGGACCCACAACGAAGAATATACAACTATGTACTGGGGGGCTTTGGGGAGAAAAAGGAAAGAAAATAAAATCTTTAAAAAAAAAGTTAAATATAGACTTACCAAATGATCCAGCAATTCCACTCCTAGATATATACCCAAGAGAATTGGAAGCAGAGACTCAAAGATACTTGGTTTTTTTTTTTGAGGAAGACTAGCCCTGTGCTAACATCTGCCAATCCTTCTCTTTTTGCTGAGGAAGACTCGCCCTGAGCTAACATCCGTGCCCATCTTCCTCTACTTTATATGTGGGATGCCTACCACAGCTTGGCTTGCCAAGCAGTGCCATGTCCGCACCCGGGATTCGAACTGGCAAACCCTGGGCCACTGAAGCGGAACATGCACACTTAACCACTGCACCACTGGGCAGGCCCCACAAATAGATACTTTTATGCAAATGTTCATAGCAGCATTATTCCCAATAGCCAAAAGGTGGAAACAACCCAAATGTCCAACAAGGGGTAAATGGATAAGCAAAATGTGGTGTATACACATAATAGAATATTATTCACCCTTAAAAAGGAATGAAATTCTGACACATGCTACACATGGATGAACCTTGAAGACGTTATGCTGACTGAAATAAGCCAGTCACAAAAGGACAAATAGTGTTTGGTTCCATTTGTATGAGGTACTTAGAATATGCCAATTCATAGAGACAGAAAGTAGAATAGAGGTTCCCAGGGGCCTCTGGGAAGGAAGGGGAAATGGAGAGTTATTGTTTAATGGGTACAGAGTTTCTGTATCCATGAATGGGGCAGGACTGAAATACTTAAAAGAGGTGAAGCTTTTAAGCTTAGATCCAAGAAGTTGGCAGTGATCAGGTGAGGCTCAAATCAGTGAATGAGTAGGTATTTATGATGTAGATTGGCCTAAATCAAAGAAAGGTCTGGGGCTGAGATGGAGATGATAGAAATACACTAATGTGGGCGGGACTTGAAAAGAAGTTTACTTAAATCCCTGAATGAATGGGGCAATAAGAAGGGAGATAGTCTTAAATTCTACATGTGACGGGTTTAAAAAGGACATTGGTTTAAATATTTTCACAGGGTTTGGCTATGAGGGAGTTCTGCTCAAATCCAGGAATGGAATAGTGCGAAAATAGAGATTGGCTTAAATTCATGAATGGAGTTAACCTAAAAGAGGTAAATAGCTTAAATCCATGGAGAGGGCAGGGCTAAAAAGGATTTTGGCATAAATTTATGAGTAGGATGTCTAAAATGGGATTCACCAACCACATCTTGTAGTAATCAACATTAATTATCCTGAGTGGGATTTAAAGGAGATCAGTTTAAATTCATGAATTGGGTGTGACTATGAGAGGAATGGTAGTGGTAAAAGATTGCTTGCTTTCCTATAAGATGAGGAACAAGAAAAGGATCTTCTATCCAAGATTGTACTGAGATTGTAGCCAGTGCAATAAGACAAGAAGAAATGAAAGACATACAGATTGGAAAGACAGAAGTAAAACTATCTTTATTTCAGACATGATCATTTATATACAAAATTAGATGGAATCTCTAAAATCTACTGGAACTAATAAATTAGTTTAGCAAGGTTGCAGGATACAAGATCAATAAACAAAAATCATCTGTATTTCTATACAGGCAATAATCCATTGAAAGTTAAAATAAGAAAATACCATTTATAGTGCCATGAAAAATATGAAATACTTAGGGAATAAAGATGACAAAAATTTGAAAGACCCATACACTGAAAACTACAAAATACTGCTGAGAGAAATTAAAGAATACCTTAATAAATGGGAAATATACCATGTTCAGGGGTCACAAGACTCACTACTATTAAGATGCCAGTTCTCCCCCAAATTAATCTATAGATTCATCAATCTCAATTCCAATAAAAATCCTTACAGGTTTTTTTGTAGAAATCGGCAAACTGATTCTAAAATTCATATGGAAATGAAAAGAATTAAACAACTTGGAAAAACAAGAACAAGTACTTATGGTACCTGACTTCAAGATTTTATTATAGAGCTGCAGTAATCAAGACAGTGTAGGGGCCGGCCCGGTGGTGCAGCGGTTAAGTTCACAAGTTCCAATTCTTAGCGGCCTGGGGTTCACCAGTTTGGATCCCGGGTGCAGACATGGCACCACTTGGCAAAAGCCATGCTGTGGTAGGCGTCCCGTGTATAAAGCAGAGGAAGATGGGCATGGATGTTAGCTCAGGGCCAGTCTTTCTCAGCAAAAAGAGGAGGATTGGCAGTAGTTAGCTCAGGGCTAATCTTCCTCAAAAAAAATAATAATAATAATAAATTTTTTTAAGTGTAATACTGGTGACAAAATAGACAAATAGATCAATGGAAAAGCATAGAAAGTCCACAAATAGATCTACACATATATGGGCAACTGATTTTCAACAAAAGGGCAAAGAGTTGTCAGTGGAGAAAGGAGAGTTTTTTTCAACATATGGTGCTGTAACAATTGGATATCTACACACACATACACACAAAATTAGTTTTGAAACATACTTCTTTATATAAAATTATTTAATTCAAAATGATCATAGACCAAAAATGTAAAACCTAAAACTGTAAAATGTCTAGAGGCAAGCATAGGAGAAAACCTTTGTGACCTTGGGTTAGGCAAAGGTTGCTTAGATAGGACATCAAAAACACAAACCACATTAAAGACTTGAATGTAAGACCTGAAACCATAAAACTCCTAGAAGAAAATATAGACAGTACACTCTTTGACATCAGTCTTAACAGTATCTTTTCGAATATCATGTCTACTCAGGCAAGGGAAACAAAAGAAAAAATAAACAAATGGGGCTACATCAAACTAAAAAACGTCTGCAGGGCAAAGGAAACCATCAACAAAGTGAAAAAACAACCCACCAACTGGGAGAAAATATTTGCAAATCATATATCCAACAAGGGGCTAATTTCCAAAATATATAAAGAACTCATACAATTCAACAACAAAAAACCAAACAACCTGATCAAAAAATGAGCAGAGGATATGAACAGACATTTTTCCAAAGAAGATATACAGATGGCCAATAGGCACATGAAAAGATGTTCAACTTCACTAATTGTTAGGGAAATGCAAATCAAAACTACAATGAGATATTACCACAGCCCATCAGAATGGCTATAATTAACAAGACAAGAAATAACAAGTGGTGGAGAGGATGTGGAGAAAAGGGAACCCTCATACACTGCTGGTGGGAATACAAACTGGTGCAGCCACTATGGAAAACAGTATGGAGATGCCTCAAAAATCTAAAAATAGAACTACCATATGATCCAGCTATTCCACTGCTGGGTATTTATCCGAAGAACATGAAAACATGAATATGTAAAGATAGATGCACCCGTATGTTCATTGTGGCATTATTCACAATAGCCAAGACTTGGAAGCAAATGAGGTGCCCAATGAGGGACAGATAGATACAGAAGATGTAGTATATATACACAATGGAATACTACTCAGCCATACAAAACGATGAAACCTTGTCATTTGTGACAGCATGGATGGACCTTGAGGGTATTATGCTAATCGAAATGTCAGATGGAGAATGTCAAATACCATATGATCTCACTCATAAATAGAAGATAAAAACAACAAACAAACACATAGAGACAGAGATTGGATTAGTGGTTACCAGAGGGGAAGGGGGTGGGGGGTGGGGAAAAGGGGCACATATGTATGGTGACGGATATAAACCAGATTATTGGTGGTGAGCATGATGTAGACTATACAGAAACTGATATATAATAACGTACAGCTGAATTTACACAATGTTATAAGCCAATATGACCACAATAAAATAATTAAATTAAACAAACATAATCCATAAAGGAACAAATGGATAAGTTGGACTTCGTCCAAATTCAGAACTTCTGCTCTTTAAGAGACAATGCAAATCACCATCTGATAAAGGATTTGTATCCAGAATATACACAGAATGCTCAAAACTAAGTAATAAAGCAATCAATCCAATAAAAAAATACAGGCAAAATATTTGAACACAAATTTTACCAAAGAACATATACAGATGGCAAATAAACAGGTAAACCATGATCAATATCATTAGTCATTAAGGTAATGGAGGTTAAAATCATGATGAAATACCACCATACACATCTTAAAATGGCTAAAGTTAAAAAGTCGGAGCATACCAACTGTTGGTGAATTTGTGGAGAAAATGGGACTCTCATTTACTGCTGATAGAAATGTAAAATAGCATTGCAACTTTAGAAAACAGTTTGGCAGTATCTTAAAAAGTTAAACGTACACATATCATCCAGCCATTCCACTCCTAGGTATTTACCTAAAAGAAATGAAAGCGTATCTCTACACAATGACTTGTATCCAAATGTTCATAGCAGTTTTATTCTTAGTCATCTCCAGCTGCCATAACAAAATACCATAGACTAGGTTGTTTAAACAACAGATATTTACTTCTCACAGTTCTGGAGGCTGGGAAGTCCAAGATCAAGGTGGCAGCCGATTTGGTTCCTTGTAAGGGGTCTCTTCCTGGCTTGCAAATGGCCCCATTCTCTCTGTATCCTCACATGGAAGAGACAGAAATCTCTTCCTCTTCTCATAAGGCCACAATCCTATCAGATTAGGACTCCACACTTCTGACGTCATTTAACCCTAATTACCTCCTAGAGACTATCTCCAGATACAGTCACATTGGGGCTTAGGGCTTCAACACATGAATTTTGGGGAGACACTATTCAGTCCATAGCATTTGTTAATAGCCAAAAATTGAAAACAACCCAAATGTCCATCAACAAGTGAATGGATCAGCAAACTGTGGAATGTTCGTGCAGTGGAATAGTACTCTGCTATAAAAAGGAATGAAAAATTTGGATGAATCTCAAAATAATTATGCTAAGAGAAAGAAGCCAGACCAACTACCCCAAAAGAGTACATATTGTATGATTCCATTTATATAAAAATCTAGTAAATGCAAACAATGACCAAAGTAGATCAGTGGCTGGGCAGGGCAGGAGGAAACATGCCAGTGAGGATTATGTTCACTCTTGATTGTAGTGATAGTCTCACAGGTGTAAACACAGTTCAAAAACTATCGAATTGTGTGTCAACTAAACCAGTCTGTTAAAAAAAAAAAAAAGGCTTGATTAAATTAACAAGAATTGGGTGGGTCTGTGAGAGGGATTTACTTAAATCCATGAATGTATGAAGCTAAGAGGGGAACTGGTTTAAACCCAGCGATCTACAGAGCCTCAGACCCCCATTTCCCAGTGTCTAAGCAGCCATATAGTCCATCCACCAGTTACGGAAGCCTTAAGTTCCAGCTTGGAAGCTGCCCTCTCCATCTACAGTGCTTGAACTCTCACCAAGAACTGGGCCAGGCAGCAAAGGAGGTCCAGTATGTCCCCCTTCAGACAAGGTCAGGTGAGAGGTGGGAGAGGCAGGGGGTCGCAGGAGGAACGAAAGCAGGGACCATTCAGCCCCTTCCACCTACGACAACACCGGGACCCTGAGAGGTGGCCGAGAGAGGTTGCCCAGCCAGCCAGAATGGACGGCAGGACACAGTGCACCGACAGCCGCAGTGAAACAGTCCCGGGCCGAGTGAGCGTTGGGGGTGAGCTGCCTGGGACCGGCGCTGCTGTTGGCTGGCTACCGGGCCCGGGCAGGCGTCTGAGCCCCTCCAGCCCTCAGTCTCTTCCTCCACCAAGTGGTGGTCACAGGCCATCTCTCGCTGTTCCCCACTCCTCCTTCGACGACAGCAGCACCGTGTCCAAGGGCTCCCCGCTCGCGGGCCTGTGTCCCCAGAACCCCGCCCTTTTCAAACCTAGGAGGGGCCTCATTTCTCTCCTCTTCTTGGCTGGCGTCCCCTCCCACCCGGGTGCCTTCAAAGCCGCCTCGCTCTCCAGGGGACCTGCCCTTCCCTGCTCCTGGAGTCCCCCAGTCCCATCATGCTCAGGGCCCCAAACCCTCCCATGGCCCCAAGGCTCCAAGGGCGTCCCCCTCCCCAGCCCACCAGACTCCTCCGGTTCCCCCGTAGGGACCGGCTTAGGCCAACATGGACTGCACGTTTACTGAGCGCCTACTACGTGCAAAGCTCTGTTGGAGGCTGCAGAATTCCCTGCTAGACTTGGGCTCCAGTTCCGCCTCCGCGTGTTTGGTTGTCAGAGCTCAAACGGGGCCCTTAGCTTCTCTGGGCCTCGACCTCCCCTTCTCACGCGCGGAGTCCCTACATTCCCCGGGTGGCAAGAGAAGCGCAGCCAGGGTCCCCGGAGGAGGGAGGCGGCGCCCGAGGCAGAGCGAGGCCCAGCGCTCGCATGGCCCGCATGGCCAGGCCTCCTTGCCGGCCGCCAGGTAGGTCACCGCGCGGGTCGGGCGCCAGGCACGGGACCGGCCGGCCTCAGCCGCGTCCAGGCCCGGGCGGGCCGCCAGCTGAGTGCGCCCCGGCGCTCAGAACGCGTCGCCGCAGGCCGCGCGTCCACCCGACGGACTCCGGGGCATGGAGCCGCGCGCGGGGAGCGCCACGGAGCCCAGGGGGAGCAGAGGAGGTACGGGTGGGGGAGGGCGCGCGTCCCCTGCCCCCCTCGCCCCGCCCGTCTGCTGCTCACCTTTTCCTTCCGACAGGTAGTAAACAAAGCCGCCTTGGCGCCCAAGCAGCGGCGGCAGCGGGCAGGGGCCCAGCGACCACGGCTGGGCTCGAGGTCCCGCACCTGCACCGGCCCCCGCGCCGCGGGGCCGCGCACCAGATCCCGGGCTCTCAGGAGTCTCCCGGGAGATGTGCCGGAGGGGTGTGCCCGGGGGCCCTGGGGACACCTGGGCACTCAGGGTCCGTGGCGAATTGTGGGGGGCTAGGCGGGGCCTCTGGGGATCTGTGGAGGGGCAATCCGAGGTTATGGGGGCCACCAGGGTGGCCTAGGCTATCTGGAGGGGGAACCGGGGCGCAGACCGTGTTCTGTCGGGACATGTGGGGGAATCGGGGTTCCTCTCGATATTGTGGGGGGAGTTTGGAATCTGGGGTTACGAGGGGGCAGTCGGAGACCTCCAGAGAGATAGATCCACAGGGTGTTTGAGGTGTCCAGGAATACTGCGGTCACAGAGCTCTCTCCAGGGATATCGTGGGGCAGGCGGGGTCCACAGGCACATTCGCCGTGGTCGGGGGTCGCGGGAGATGAGAGGGCCAGTCGGTGACCTCTGGCACTATCAAGGGCGTGGTCAGGGGGTGTCTGGGGATCTTGAGGGGCATTCCAGGTGTCTGACGTCGGGAGCGCGGGGGCTCTCCGAGGCTCGGGGTGGGCGCTGACCTGTTCTTTCCACCCGCGCAGGCCGCGGCCTTCCCCGCCCGCGGGCTCCAGTGCCCGGCAGCTCCTGGCCCGGCTGGACGCGCGCCCCCTGGCGGCCCGAGCTGCGGCCGACGTGGCGGCGCTGGTGCGCAGGGCCGGCGCCACATTGCGCCTGCGCCCCAAGGAGGGTGCGTGATGGGGGCGGGGCCTTTCGGGGGCGGGGTCGGAATGGAGCCGGGTTCCAAGCGGCAGGCCCGAGGTTGTTAGTTACTGTGCTGGGTGGGGCCGGGGGGGGGCGGGGTGTGAGTTGGGAGGGCGGGGCTCGGAGGATAATCGAGGGGCGGGGCCTTGGGTTAGCCTAGGATATTCCTCTAGGAGGTGACAGCGGCAGGGTTATTGCAGTCGGTGAATGTTGTAAGATTAGTTGCAACTAAGGCTTCGAATGGCATTTCTGAGGAGGCGGGGCCTGGAGAGGGCTGGGGGCGGGCGCTTAGCTGAGAGGCGGGTCTGGAATGCTAGTCAAGGGGGTGGAGCCTATCTGCGCACCGGGGGCGGGGCTGAAATGGCAGGAATGGGTTGAGGTTTCCAGGCTGATTAGAGGGCTGGGCCGGGAATGTTCAGGAGCAGAATCCAGGAGTAGCACCCTCCAGGGTGGGCCTAAGGGTGCCATTTGAGGGTGGAGGTCTGCGTGTTACTAGAGGGAGGGAGGTAGCAAGGTCTGGAGGATTATTCCAATAGCCGGGCCCAGGCTTATTAGTTAAGAAGGCCATTCAGGACAGTTATTCGTGTGGCCGGAGCCTGGATTATGACTTGAGGGAGCGCTGCCTAGATATTTACAGTAATAGTGTCAAGGCCCGGATGTGACTTCAAGGAGATGAAGCTAGAATGTTAATTTAGGGGACTGGGCCCTTGTAGTTTCTATGGAGAGTCGCTAACTGCTTTTTAGCCTTTTCCATTCCGCCGCTATTAGCGTGCTGGACTCTAAGGATGATAACAACGTCTTGGAGATAAAGTGAAGATCCCTTGTAGATCCCACGCAGAGTTCCTAGCATGGCAAATACAGTAAGGTGTGAAAAACCTTGGGTACTTTCGTGGAGCTTGAACAGTCTATGGGGCTGGAGACTTAATGAACCTTGGAGGCAGGGATTGGGGGAGAGGGTGGCGAGGAGGGTGGAAGCTGCAGGAGAGCAGGGGGCAGGGCCAGGCTGAGAATCTAGCACAAGTCCTGAGTGAATATCGAGAATTGGGTAAGACCCCAGTCTCTGGCGCCAGGTAGCCTGGGTCAAATGTGACTCTTTTACTACCGGCTTTCTGACCATTTGTATGTTATTTAATCTCTTTGTGAAAAGCTTAGCTATTCAAATATAAAAGTAATATATGTATATTTTAAGAATCAGAACAAAAGAGTCACAACCACGTAGTCTATATTTCCCTTAGACTACCTCCTCTTTCTGACCTTGAAAATTTGTAGAAACATGATTTGTTTGAAATACACACGATCACGGAGAATGTAGTGCAACCTTTTAACAACTAAATTGAGACAATGTATCTAATTTACATATGACGCAATTCACTCATTTAAAGGATATGCTTCAATTGTTTTCAGTATATTCACAGGGTTATGCAGTTGTCAACACAAATAATCAATAACCAATCTATAGATTAGAAAGACAGAGTGATAGCTATTGAGCCAATGCTGAGGAGTAGCCCAGAAGTGTTATCTTCCCCAGGGAAGAAAGCACTCTGGAGAAGCAAGGTTCACAGCGTGGTTATATACCATTTCAGAACGAAGAACATACATCAAGCATGACAGGGATACAATTCTTTCCCCAAAGTCACAAGGAGATGTTTTGCTGCAGTTTAGCACGTACACAGCAGGTCAGCTTGACCTTGGTTCTCTGGGAAGAAAAGCTTATCTTCAAAGAAATACTGGTATTGGCGTCAGAGAAAGGGGGACATCACACCCCTGTCTTTAAAGAGTGACTTCTTTGCTTTGGGAAAGTGTTGGAAGCAGATGTACAATGCATGTTTGGTGGGCCCTAAGTCAGGCTGCTCTGGGAAAAACAAGTTTTAGGCCTAATCAGATTTAAACCAGAATGGCTTCCCCATGTGCCTCAATATGTGGAAACTTATTATTTTAATCACAATCATCACCCCAATGTACATTTAGAATATTTTTATCTCCCTGAAAGAAGCCTCATAACTTTTGGCAGTCACTCCCTGTTCCCCAACTCCACCCCTCCAGCCCTAGGCAACTACCAATATACTTTGTTTCTATAAATTTGCTTATTTCCTAAAAATGGAGTGATACAATATGTGGTCTTTTGTGACTGGCTTCCTTCACCAAGCCTAATGTTTTCAAGGTTCTATGTTGTAGCATGTGCCAATACCTCATTCCTTATTACTACCAATTAATATTTCATTATATGAATATACCATATTTATTTATTGTTCATCAGTAGATGGACATTAGGGTTGTTTCCACTTTTTGGCTATTGTGAATAATGCTGCTATGAACATCTGTGGACAAATTTTTGAGTGATTGTATGTTTTCATTTCTCTTGGGTACATACATAGGAATAGAATTGTTGGGTGGCATGGTAACTCTAAGTTTTGTAGTTTGAGGAACTGTCAAACTGTATTCCAAAGCCATTGCACAGTTTTACAATCTCACCAGCAATGTCTGAGGCTTCTAATTTCTCCACATCCTCTCCAACAGTTGTTATTGTCCATCTTTTTTATTATAGCCCTCCTAGTGGGTGTGAAATTGTATCTCATTGTGGTTTTGATTTGCATTTCCCTAATAGATAACTGTATTTTGATAGGTAGAATAATGGGCCTCCCAAGATGTCTACCTTCTAATCCTCAGAACCTATGAATATGTTATCTTATATGGCAACAGACACTTTGCACATGTGATTAAATTAAAGATCTCGAGATGGAGAGATTATCCTGGATTATGGGGGAGTAACATAATCAAAAGAGTCTTTAAGAGTGCAAAGGAGCACAGGAGAGTCAGAGAAGGAAATGTGGTGACAGAAGCATGGGTGAGAGTAAGAGATTTGAAGATGCTGCACTGCTGGCTTTGAAGACGGAGGAAGGGGCCACAAGTCAAGGAATGCACGCAGTCTCTAGAAGCTGGAAAAGGCAAGGAAAAGGATTCTCCCTTAGGGCCTCCAAAGGGAACGCAGCTCTGCTGACACCTTGATGTTTCTGCCCTACAGAACTGTGAGATAATAAATTTGGGATTTTTTTTTAAACCAATAAATTTGTGGTAATTTGTTATAGCAGCAGTGGGAAACTAATACAGATTTTAAGCATCTTTTCATGTGCTTTTTGGCCATTTGTATATGTTCTTTGGAGAAATGTATGTTCTGATTCTTTACAGATTTTTTTTAAAGATTGGCACCTGAGCTAACATCTGTTGCCAATCTTCTTTTCTCCTTCTTCTCCTTCCCCTTCCACTTCCCCTTCCCCTTTCTTCTTCTTCTTCTTCTCCCCAAAGCCCCCCAGTACATAGTTGTATATTCTAGTTGTAGGTCCTTCTGGTTGTGCCATGTGGGACGCCGCCTCAGCATGGCCTGATGAGTGGTGCCATGTCCATGCCCAGGATCTGAACCAGCAAAACCCCGGGCTGCTGAAGCAGAGCACGTGAACTTAACCACTCAGCCATGGGGCCAGCCCCCTGTTTACAGATTTTTAAAGTTGTGTTATTTGTGTTTTTATTATTGAATTGCATGTTCTTTATATATTCTGGATACAAGTCCCTCATCGTATATATAATTGTAAATATTTTCTCCCATTCTGTTGGTTGTCTCTTCACTTTCTTGCTAGTGCCTTTGAAGCACAAAAGTTTTAATTTTAATGAAGTTCAATTTATCTGTTTTTTCTTTTGTCGTTTTTGCTTCTGATATCTTATCTAAACAAACCATTGCCTAAGATCACAAAGATTTGTTCCTATGTGTTCTAAGAGTTTTATAGTTTTAGCTCTTACTTTAGACCTATGACCCATTTTGAGTTAATTTTTGTGTACAGTGTGAGGAAGGGGTCCAACTTCATTCTTTCGTATGCAGA